GTTTTTCTTTTCTTAAACATGGTAAATGAGTTTCTTCCTCCTCGCAAGGTTGCGTAAGACATGCACCTATGGTATCATTAGACGCATCAGTATATAAAACATAAGGTTTCTTCAAGTCTGGGTATGCTAATAAAGGAGTCACAGTTAAACTATATTTTAAAAAATCAAAAGCTTTTTGACATTCCTCATCCCATTGAAACTTAGCATACTTTTTTGTTAGAGCAACTAAAGGTATAGAAATTTTTGAAAAATTTGGAATAAATCGTCTATAGTATGAACACGCCCCTATAAAACTTCTTACTTCCTTAACAGTAACAGGGTTTGGTAAAGTTTTTATTGCTTCGACTTTGCCATCGTCCGGTTTTACACCGTCGATATTGATTTTAAATCCTAAATAATTGGTTTCTTTCTGTAAAAATTGACATTTCTTTAATTTCAACTTCAAATTATGTTGCCTTAATCTGTCAAATACTTGCTGAATATGATCAAAATGTTCTTCTAGAGTTTCAGAAAATATCAAAATATCATCTATATACGAGATAGCAAATTTTAGGTCTTGTAAGACTATCTCCATCAATTGACTAAATACAGCAGGACTATTTTGTAACCCAAATGGCATAACATTAAATTCAAACAATCCTCGATGACAAACAAATGCTGTTTTTGATTTATCTTCGTCTGCCATCTGGACTTGCCAAAATCCACTGCGAAGATCAATTAGGCTGTAGAACTTTGCAGCCCCTAAAAGGGTCAATATATCGTCGATAACCGGTAACGGATATCGGATCGCTAATGTATTAGAGTTTAAATTTCTGAAATCAATGCAGAAACGTGTGGTTTTATCCTTTTTATCCACTAATACTACTGGTGACGAATAATTACTGTTAGACCTTCGAATAATGTTTGCTTCTAACATGTCAGTTATTGCCTTATTGACTATTTCCCTTTTATGTAATGGAGTTCTATATGGTTTCAATTTAACCGGGGGATTATCACCCGTGTCAATCCTCATTTTTACAGTGTCAGTTTGACCTAATTCAGTATCCTTAAAAGCAAAAACATCTCTATTATTGTTCAATATTTGTAACACCCTACCCCTATAAGCATCAGGAACATTAAGATCCGTTTCAAAAACATTCTCAATTTCAGAGTGTTCTTGAGTAGATTCAAGTGAGACAACATTTTCTTCTAAAACCGGTGAAGCCCTGCCTATTGCTATGCCCCTTCTAAATTTATAAGTTCTGTTCGTAGTATTAACTATAAGAACTGGCATTTGACGTTTTTCATTAATTTTTGCAACTGAATTAGCAACCATTAAACCTGGTTGAGAACTCAAATGCCCCTTAGTAATTGGTGAAATTTCAAAAGATTTAGAACTTGAAAAGGTATTATTTTTATTACCTTTTACATAACAGATATTGCTAGTCTGAGGTTTAAAGACAGTGGTACGAGCAAGTCTAACAATTGAAGCTATGTGAATATCTTCTACTAATGGTACATAAGTTTTATTTACCCTTAAACACCCCAAATCAAAATAAACTCTAACACCAAATTTAACTAACCAATCACGGCCCAAAATTGCATTTCTGTTCATGTCAGATACCACATAAAAGGTATGATTCATTTTGTTTCCTTTCATGTTAAAGTCTAAATTTATACTTCCCAAAACATTTAAAGAAGCCCCGTTAACTCCTTGTAAATTGACTTTTCTTTTTTCTAATTTTGGTAATCCTTTAATTGAATTGTAAATTTTATTATGCAATAAAGATACTGAAGCTCCACTGTCAATTAAACTTCTAACTTTCATATGTGCTATTTTAATCAAACAAGAATTTGGATTTCCCGCCAAATTAATTTCATAAGTTTCGACTTGATCAGTTTCACTTTGAGTTATGTTTTCGGTTATGTTACCCAAAGGTATTTGTTCATGATAAGGTTCAATGTTTCTATTTTGTACGTTTGAATTTCGCGCTCTAACTACTTTATTTCTGTTAAATTTTGAATTTCGCGCCATTTGTACTTCGTTTACTTCCGGTTTTGAATTAAAATTTCGCGCCATTTTTACTTTGTTTACTTCCGGTTTTGAATTAAAATTTCGCGCCATTTTTACTTTGTTTACTTCCGGTTTTGAATTAAAATTTCGCGCCATTTTTACTTTGTTTACTTCCGGTTTTGAATTACGATCGTTAGAATGTTTATAATAACTTTGATTCCAGTGATAGGTAAAATTGTTAGAACATGCATTATTAAAGTTTGTTGATTTGTTATTTAATTTTTTTAACCATGATTCATATATATTATATACAGGTTTTGTATTTCCATAATTAATTTTTCTCTCAAACATCTTATTTCCCCTTATTCCCTTAAAAGTCTCCCTATTGGCTTCAGCATAAAGAGACCGTCTCAGTTTAAATTTTCTCTTGGTTTCCCGAATTGTTCATTTGGTCTTGCTCTACAATTTCTTTGATAATGACCTGGTTTACCACAATTCCAACAGAAGAATGTTCCTCTTGATTGTCCTGTTAAGTTAGGATTATTTTGGACAGAATTAAACCTTCTAGGAGGATATGAATTTACATTATTACTTAGCGTGTTGTCATTAAAATTCCTTCGGGGCACGCGAACTTACTGTGTTTACATGAAATTTTGCATTATTATCCCTACAATATTTTGCCTTATGGCCAAATCGCTTACAATAGTTACATTTTACACCTATTTCTCGGTAATGTGATACGTCCATTGGTGTAATATTACGCTCATTACCGTTACTTTTTTTCAAGTCAAATTTTCGTCTTAATTGCGTTTCAGCCATTGCCGAGTTTACTGCTTGAGCCAAAGTTTGTGGATTTTCACGCATTATTTTCATTCTCAAATAATCTTGATACAACCCGTTTATGAAAAAGTTAACTAATTGAAGTTGAACAATTGGTTGATTGATATCTTGCCCTCTAAAAGCATCTGTTGCTAAAGTTAAAATTCGTTCTCCAAATATGGGAACATTTTCGCCAACTTTCTGATGAACCTTATTCAGAAGTTCAAATGCATATGATGCATCAGGAATATGCCCATAACGAAAATTCAATTGAGTTTTTAGATTATCCCAACTGTTATTTCCGGCATCTGTTTCTCTTAACCACCTAGCAATGAAATCACTTACTGGCCCTACAGAAGTTTGATAACATACCATTTTACAATCGTTCGGATTTAAATTGGTAATCATTGCATATTTTTCTATGGATCGAATCCATTGAGAATATTTTTCTGAATTTGAACCATCAAAGCCTTCAACTATCGAATTGACACCGTTTGCAGTTAATTTTTGAGTAAGACTTTGAACTTGTGTTGCTAAATTTTGAAAAACTAACCCTACATTAAATTCTTGTTCAGCCATTTTTGAGAATATAATAATTAAGATTATCAAATAAAATTTCACTGTACCTTTCTTTAGAATTCGTCCTGGCACGGTACACCACAAAGACTGTGTAACACAATAGGATAGTTAGTTAACAGTTTATTTATTTACGCCAAATGAGCCGATGTGTCCCATACAGTAAATACATAGGTATATATACAGAATATAACAGTTTGTCAAACTTTCTATTAATTTGACAATAATAGTTTTAATTCTAAAGGTACATGGATGAATATCTATTAAGTTGACTCTAATTGACATGTTTTGCCTGACTAAGATGGAAATTGATAGTTGTAGAATACACGTATGTCCAGTCTTTTAACTAATTGTTATTACAACATGTCACCATCTGGTTTGCATGTAAACATGTTTTTAAAGTTATATGCAACTTAGTGGTCAATTAAAACAACCTTTCCCAAGGTCATGATTTTCTTAATAGATATTCCCCTGTATTTATTTTATTCAATTTAATAAACATTTTGAGAATATATAATCATAAATATAAATATAAATATATATATATATATATATATAATATATATATATATATATATATATATATATATATATATATATATATATATATATTTTAAGCCCATCATATTGTCACATAGAAACCACTTACCCTTTCGTAAAACCTGAGTTCAACCCCGTTATTGGTAATGTTCGTGTTGCTCAATCTATAGTTTTCTAAGCTTTGTTTTGTATGTCTTCTCATTGTTTTTGTATTTTGTAATGGTGCTGAATGTTTTCATTGGACTCACGACTTGAGTATCTCCTTGGTATGATAAGAGCCATTATTTAACTCGTGGAATGTAAAAATAAACTTATTCAAGTCTTTCAAAGTTATGCTTGTTTTATTGATAAATGAACAGGTGGATTGACTGTTTGATTCTTACTTGCTTGCTTTATGTCCAGTGGCAAATATCTCATGCATAAATATATTGTGAGAAAGCAAAATGTTGATGCATGGACGGCTTTTACCACAACAAAAGACCAGCTGGAATGTACGCGTTGTTGTGCTAAGCATACCCTCTCAAAGTTTCAGAACACAGGACGTAAGTGCTTTATAATAGATCTCCGACACGCGAACAGACGTTACACCACATCACTGTTGAGCTACTGACTGAATATGAAGTAATTCTGTTTATTATTATTGAATATCTATGTGACGAAAATTTAAAGTTTATTCAACATTCAATAAAATGACCCTACTGTGAAATAATCATCTTTCTGATAAGATATCACTACCACTCATACTAGTTCTAATCAACTGTTAGTCATTGATTAAAGTGATGTTGTATGTAAAAAATAATTCTCAAAATGTTATATCTCATATGGTTTACCAAAACTGTTTTTTTGAAAAAATGAATGACAAATATTCATATTGTATTACAATTTGCCCACACCTCTTCTTTTTATGTTACATTGTAATATATAACTATGTATTTTAAACTTAGGGTTCAATAGTTTTCAAAAGATTTCGTGCATATAATTTTATTTTTAGTATCGTCAGGTGTTTTCCCAGAGCAATTTCTAAACAGAGATTGTTTACGCAAATTTAAATTCTTGGTAATCTTCATCTTAAATATGTTAACCACTAAATAAATAAATGTTTGCATAGATACTCATACCGGGGGTTCCCCTTATAAACAATTCGTAAAATAGTGGTTCGATTCACAAATATATTTTTATTTTTTGAGATGGATTGTTAACTGGTTGGTGAACGTAAGTATATGTACAACGTTAGTTTTCTATACTTGTTATATTTGCTACTGATGTTAAAATACTTTAACATATTATAACATTCTATAGGTCAGTTTGGGTTGCTTATATATATATATACCCAAAAATTTGTCAATATAACGGGATTATAAACAACTGTCATACAAGTGGTAGGTTTAGCTAGCTATAAAACCAGATTATACCACCATTTTCTTCTGAAAATGCCTGTACCAAGTCAGGAATATGGCAGTTGTTTTCACTTTTTCCGTTGATTGATAGCGTTTGATTTTGTCAGTTTTTATGGACTTCTCCTTTTTAAAATTTGACTAGGAGTTGAGTATTTTTGTTATGCCTTTTTTCTCCCAGGAAAGCTACACTTTTGATTAAAAACATATCTGCACTATAGAATGTCCTAGGAACGTTTTTCCCCTTTAGCGAGATGTTAGGGTGGACGGAAGGGTTGGAGTTTACGTGACAACTTAAGTCAAAGACAAACGATTTTTTTCTCCTAAATTAAATGCAGACAGAAAATTTGCTTGCCTCTTGACATAGTTGGCCATCATATAATGCTACTTACATTTCAACACATTGGTAAATATTACGAAAGATAAAAATGATAAATATTTTGAATCGTACAATAGATTATCAGTTTTTTTCTCAAAAGGACGAAAAATAGGTAAAATTTAACTCTTGAAAGAATAAAGGTTGTCCAAATATGTCATTTTTCTCCTTGTTAGTTCGGAAATATCGAAGCAAATTCTTAGTGAAATTTTGTAATGCTTTAAATATACACTAATCAGTTAAATAAAAAAAAACAATTCCTTGTCTTTTGTTTTTGAAATTTAAAGAAATGTTGAACGTTTATCATTCTATGATGCAATTAAAGGTAATTACTTTCTGTTGAAATTCTTTTTTAGTTCCGGGTACAACATATTTAGTTTATTGAATTTCAATGGCGAAATAACAAAGAAGACTGTCTTACCGGATTTATCGTAGGCCGAATATTTAAATCTACGTCACTCTTGTCCGGGGAAAAACCTTTCGATGGATCGAAAGTGTTTTAAATAAATATTTTCCAAAATTCAATCTTAAATAAATGCCTTCTGTTATATAATATTCTATATTCCATTTGTTTATCATGGCGTAAGTTCATTAATGTATTTGTTGATAATGTGTACGTTTTTCTCTTTTTTCACATATCTTTCTATTTGATTTTTATTGTGTTTTTTAGTTCTGAGGACAAGCTGAAGGTAAAATGTCAATAATGTTCGATATACAGAGGGAATACATACATTAATTTGTAATGGATGTGGCACCGTTAAAGTACACAATTCCTCTAAAGTCCACAACACCGCTGAAGTCCACAACAAATTTCCGCTAAAGTCCACAACGCCGCTTAAGTCCACAAACTTTCCGCTAAAGTCCACAAAATGACTTCCGCTAAAGTCCATAAAAAACACCGTTAAAGTCCACACAACTTTTTTTAATTTTTAGAATATCAATTCGCTTTTTTTTTATTCCGGTAGTACAATACAAAGCATGGGCTTTTGTTCTTGGTAATTTCTTTTGGCAGTTTTGATCGCAATGTAGTCATTTTGTGCTGACGCGACGTTTAGCAATGATCAATCAATCAGTCAATCAATCTTTTGATTAATCGATCAAACGTTTTTAGCAAGACTACCCATTTCAACCTCATTGTCATGCTGTTTTTTTTTCAGTTGTTTATAGTAGACCAACTGTGACCACAGGAATTCATCATTATTATGAAACATATGGAAATGTTTAAATTACAATTGTACCTATACGTGCTTGGAATTACCACTGTCTTGGTTAGTATTGTTGAATAAAGAGTATAGCATTCTTCTGTTTTCAATATCATCTTCAGTATCACTTATTTGTTTACCCATTATAAAATTAAGGAGACATGGTTTGACCCAAAAGAAACAACAATTCACCAAAAACAAAAGAAAAATGATGTTTCACCGACATGTTCATCACACAGGCAGTTGTCTCTGAAAAAAAACCCAACCCTATATATGTATATAGGTAATTTTTCTATAGATAATTGTCTGTGGTTCATCACGCTACACAAAAATCCAGTGTAAAATGTGTTTTAAGAAATAATTCGCATATAAGTATTAATTTGGGTGCCGATTAATTAAGTTAAGGGTGAACCAAATGCGTTAATGACACGTGATATTGAATAATTCATGTACCTTTTGACGAAATACTTTATTTTTTTTTAACTAAATAGATTTTTTATTCTCCAAGACCAATTGACAAAGGTACACAGAGGGGAAAATGGCAGTTTAACATACAATGCTTAGGCTGATACATGAGTAAATTAATACAAAAGACAATACTCATTCACCGAAATGAACACAATTTTAAATTTTTGAACGTTGCACAAATGTTTATCGTTGACCTCGTCATACTTTATTGGTTATTGTTCATTGTGATGATATATTTATATGTTTCTTTTTAGGCTGCTGTTCGTGAAAATTCAGATGTCAAGTATGTTACTAGATTTTTTGGAAATGACAGGAGGTTTTGTATTCCAGTTGTAAATTGTCCACCAGGTAAAAGTCAAAATTTAATCATAAATGTATAAATTCAAGATTGGAAGTAAAATTGAGAATGGAAATGGGGAATGTGTCCAAGAGACAACAACCCGACCAAAGATCAGAAAACAGCCGAAAGAAATAGATTAAACAGAAAATTTAATAATGTTATGAATTTTAACCAATTCTGAACTCATTAATAATATTACGAGTTAGGGCAATACGATGAATGCTGCTTAAGACTGTTTGCATTTCTAGAGCTTTTATTGTCCTGTTATTTTAGTGCCCACAAACTTCAATTTTATGCGTTTTAAGTACTTTTTCCTAAAGATCACTTGCTTTCTGAACATTTTGTCTGCTATTTAATTTAGCGAACTCTTGATTTGTTGTGTAATTGTTAAAACTGTAATAAGTTTTTATACAATACAAAAATAAGAAGATGTGGTATGATTGCCAATGAGACTACTCTCCACAAGAGACCAAATGACACAGAAATTGACAACTATAGGTCACCGTACGACCTTCAACAATGAGTAAAACTTACAAATGCTCATTTATAATTAAAAAAAAGGGGATTGCATTTTTTATTTTGAAACATATTAATATCATTTCTTTACTCGGTTTTGAGATTTTTCATTTTATCACTTTAATTTACAAACAATTTTATCATATAAAGATATGAAATAAACAGTGTCCTTTTTAACAGAGTATTACTTGTGTTTATTTGTAACAGGACATGAAATTTTACCATGTAGTATTGATCATACCAAAGATATATGTACACCTTGTCCGTTGGGGTTGGTCCAACCTAATTACATCCAGTCATCACAGGATCCACAGCAAACAGAATGCTTTGAAAACAAAAACAAGGATAAATGTCATGCATCCGGTATGTAGTTTTTCTTTTTAAAATTTGAAATATAAATCTCATTCTACATGTCTCTTATAGCATGTAGTAGGATTAAGTGGTCAACCTCATCAACAATATCAGGCTTATAGTTTTGTACGTCAGACGCGCGTTTCGTATACAAAAGACTCTTAAGTGACGCTCGAATCAAAAAAGGAAAAAGGCAAAATAAAGTGACAGATTGGTTCAAGGACAGCTTGGTATCTATATTTGCAGGTTTAGTCAATGAGAACATTCTTTGATACGGTATTATCATTAGTATTGTTTATCTTGTACCAGTTCTGTTGTTTGTTTTATTTTGTCTTTTGTTCGTTTTTTGTTGTTTTCTATATTTACCGATATATTAAACAATTAAATGATTTTTCTGAACTTATTTCTTATAAGCGTTTTCATATATTCTCCCCTAAATATTCATCTGCCTTTACAAAGTCAGGAGCCTTGTTACTGGCTTCCTGGCTAAGAACGATTTAGAGGAGAAAGAGGCTACAGATACCAAAAGAAATGATCATAACCCATAAGTCGGAAAGAAACCCGACAACAAAATGCAAAAATAAAAACGAAAAACGAAGAAAAGGCAAACAACAGTCTACCAAACATTACATATAAAACTAACGACTGAGCAACACGAACCCAACCAACCGGGGTTGACATAAAAAGGATAAATTTTTACATTCTTTAAACGTTCAATGGGATAGATGCGATCTGCGCAGTCACAGAAAAAAATCAAGCTTGAGGGACTTATCGGAACTTGGTTAAATGATAATGTTTGCATCTGATTATGATTGAGATGACAAACCAAAGCAATCAACATACTGTATTTAACAAGTGTCTTAACACATTTGTTGATCGCGTCTTTCCCATTGAACGTATAAATAATATCCCAGACATGGTAAGATTTACTTCAAAACACGTAGATATTGGCATCTGTTCCTCAGAATCTCCATCATAATTGTGTGTAAGTATTTTTTGCATTCTAAAGCAAAGGAACGTATAAAAACAATGCATTGTTTTTAATTATGCCTAAAATATGTAACAGACAGGCGATTTGTAAACGTATTTTATGGAGTTACAAAAAATTGTCAATTTCAGATATTGAGCCTAGTCGTACTTCCAATGCTAAAATGTGTAACTATGCCCAGTTCTGCCAGTGTAATACTGACGAATGTTACTATGGAGATCCGTGCGCATGCATGAAAAAATTCGAGAAATGTGGTGTTGGAGAAACATTAAATGAAAATGGAAGTAAGTCAAATTGAATTATACATAATAATACAAATATAATATGTATACAATATTTGTCTTTTGTTCGTACATAAATAAATCATGCATCGATTTTGTGCTGAAAGTTCTTTGGTGTGCTTCGTTTAATATTCACAGCTTGTTGGTTTTTTACACATGTTTAGTCGTAACGGCAAGCATAATCTGTAAATCTATATACCTTATTGATGTTTGTACACCATTAGAATATATTGTGGCAATATCAACAAGTACTGAAAAGTTAAAAAGTTATGAGGACAAATAAAATGATTTAGAAATCATTCTCAAATATTACAGACCTCTTTCCGTTTAAACCTTAATTTTAATGACTATGATCAACATAATTTTTTAGCATGCGTACATTGTCCGATGGGTACATGGAAGAACGAAACAGGTTGTGGCCCTTGCATCAGCACAGGTCGCAGTGTTGTAGTCAAAAGGTACGTTATTAATTTCTTTGATATTACAGTCTGTTGCCTACAGTAAACAATAAACAGAAAGAAAATCAAGTACCAAAAGTCTAGGATACACATACAACTCAAAAATCAAATAGAAAAAAAGACATAAAGGCAAACAACAGTCCACAAAACTTGACTGACTTTCATGATCCCACAAAAAAAACAGGATGAGCTTAGGTGTTCCGAAAGTGTCAAGAGTTCGTGTTTCTCTCATAGCACCTTTTGTTAAAATAATTTGGTGCATCATACCAGATGATAAGATATAAGCATTTCCGAATCAATATGTCAATGATGGAATTGATGAAAAAGAGGGACGAGCTACCCAGGGAAAAGAAAAAACCACAAATCGAAAATAAAAGCAGACAATCCACACCAACAACAAAACAAAAAACGACGGACAGACAAAATACAATCCACAAAAAACTACATAGAAATTCTTCAATTAATGCATTATTGCATTATTAAATTTACTGTTCTTGATATTGCATAAATGTCTTTATTGATATTTGAAACTGAACTTTGTTTTTAGGTCATTGATTTTTAAATAGAAAAAAACTTCGTTTGATTAAAAGTACCGTTTTTAATTTGTTTAAACGTTACAACTTTCAGCTCCCCAGTACAGACTACAAAGAAGCCAGTAACGAGGTAAGACCATCTTTAGTTATTAAGTACGGTTTAGCAATCGTTCAAGGGGACCAATAAAAAAGGTTTATTTCTTTCATATTTAGCCTTGATTTATTACAAATATATTCATACAACTCTCAGCTGATACACTGAAAAAAAAAGTAGAAACATATGTTGGGAGTTGAAATTATTTTGGATATCTTTGTCATATACTAGTCGATCCAAATAAACATTTCATTCTTATATTTCCAACAATAAAATGGCCTGTTGATGGTTGGTGGTAGCTTTTTGTTCTTAGTGAACCTCTTGTGCACGTACCAACACCAATCAAACTTACCAATCAACATACTGTTGAGTGTCAGTTTCCGACAGTCGTAAAAATACGAAACAAACATATTCCTATTTACTTTACTAGATATCCATGCTATCAAAACATGATAGGCTTATTGTCACTAAGTAATGTAAAAGTGTTAAAAAATCTAGCACTTTTTATTACTTAACTTAAGAAAATTTTGTAAATGTATTTTTTATGTTCTTTCCTTTGTTATACCCACCATTGTTTTGTATTGTTTGTATATATGTAAACATTGTATTCCTCTTGTTACACGTATGTATTGTGTCTGAGTGATCAAATAAAAGTTGTTCAAAGTTGTACTATAACAATAATAGAGTTTAAACAGAACTTCTTTCAACAATATAACTATAAAAAACCAAACTTACTTCATCTTTCGTAGATATTTGAATTATTTTAAAGACTTTTTGACGGTTTGTTTTTTTACAGGAAGGAAAATACTAAATTTAGCACAGCAGAATCTCCCATGTTTTCTACAAATAAAACAGGTAAATTGATTTTTTTATGAATGAATATATTATAAATCAGACAACTGTTAACAACAGGGTAGTTAAATTAATTGGTAAAGTAGGCTAGGAAATGCAAAATACTTAATATCATAGATGGGATATGAACAATGATGTAAACGCACACATCGAAATGACGAGAATTATAGATGATGTGATGGATGCAAGAATTAACCAAGTTGCAAGGAACAGATAAACAAAACTACAAAATAAAACTTAGGAGAAATGGAGTGATTTGTGCCAAGAATACATGTAGCACATATTCAGACAGAAAAAAAAATCATAATAAAATGGTTTGAAATGGAGTTAAGACTTTCTGTTATACATCCATCCATATATATATATGACTATTGATGAATTAAACAGCGAATCGATAAAAAATATCTCGGCGAAAATGATTTTTGGATTAATTTAAAATATTATTGTTATGTTCTTCGGGGATTCATTGCATCTTTACGTTCTACTAAATAAAACAAAAGTAACATATTAGTCAACTGCAATTAAAATCCAACTTCATACGTATTGAATATTTAAATATTGTCCAGCGATTTTTTGTTCATTTTTTATACAGATTTTATCATTGCATGTCTACCAATCATAATATGATTTTGACTTCTTTTACATTTGTTAACGTCAATAATGGTGAATTTCGTTGGTAGTTGTCTTTTGAAATTATTTATAATGTATCTTAATAATGTCTCTTTACTTAGAAAGTACCACTATTCAAACGAAAGAATCGGTTTCGATCCCATCAGTTGCACGCCAAACTATGGAGTCTTCGTCTGGCTGGTTAGTTGCTATGTAAGTATCGATCACTTAACCCATTATGAAGTTTGACCTTATCAACATTTACAAAATAGAAAAATATCGATTTAACTTAAACAACAAAATGTTTCTCGTGTAATGTTCACCAAATAAAAAGAAGGAGATGTGTTATGATTGTCAATGAGACTACTATCTACAAAAGCTCAAATGAAGTGGATGTAAGCAATTATAGGCACCCGTACGGCCTTCAAAAATGAAAAAGGCCTCGACATGAATAATATGAAACTATTCAATTGAGAAAACTAACGGCCTAATTTATGAGAAAATAATCTACGAAAAACAAATTTGTTAGACATGAACCAACGACAACCACTGAAATACAGGCTCCTGACTTGGGACAGGCACATAAAGATTGTGGCGGAATTAACATGCTTAAAGACGCCACTCCTTCTCCTTGACCGTTTTGTTTGTTCTCAAGTCTTTTTGGTCTTCATTTTTCCGTATACATCATTTATGAATACAAATATACCACAACTTAGGACTTTATAGACTTACAAGACAATTCTATTTCAATTTCAACAAAGTAAGTGTATTCTATAACATTGAAATAATTGTTCTGCGCACAATTCAATAGCATTACAATCTTATGAATTAAGAGCGATATGGAAATACGTCAACTATTTGTATATATACAAATAAATGGCATTCCAACAACAAGAATATCCAAAAAGACAAAAAGAAGGCAGCATACGGACAAAGACGGGCAATGACAGGTGTGTTTACAATAGGACAAGCTCTAAATCGTGTCCCAAGTCTCATACTAATAGCTTTGTTTTGTTCAATATTTTCAGCGTAATAGTTTTGATGCTTATGGTAGTTGCGGGAATAATTCTGATCGCAGGTGTACTATTTAAGTACACACGACAAAAGAAAGACGGTGAGATAAACAAATAATTACCTTTGTTATACCAGAACAAAAGTTTAGTTAATTTAAGACAGTAGAAGAAGAATAACACTTTTTGAGATGACAAAAATGAATTTTATAGTTTATCATGATGTTCACCTCGAAAGGCAGAGGAAATATTTATCATTCAATTTTTATGTTTCACATGTGCAATTATAACATTGTTGTTTTAGTTTAAATACTAATGCTTAAGCCAGTAACAAGTTGTACACAGACAAAAAGGAAATAATGATAAAAAGTTAATTATAAATTACTTAGTTTTTATACTAATTCAAACTTCTTTTGTGTTTGGACTCCCAACCGTTTGGTTTCTGGCGAACATCAATGGTGGTCCTCTAACATGTGTCACATGGTTCTCTCACATGTGTGACGTAGTCCTCTAATATGTGCCACATGGTACTCTGACATGTGTGACGTAGTCCTCTAACATGTGTCATGTTCAATGAAATCAGTATCAAACGTTTATTTTAAAAAATGCAAACTTATATGTTGATATAAATATATATAAAAAAAGAAAATTATCGATTCATTAGGTACTGGTACTGCGCTAGAAGATCGATTTTGCATACGACACTATTAGTTCATACTTCCACAAGCGCTCATATAGCGTTAGTTAGAAGATCGATTATGAACATGGCAAAATCTATAAGCGATTATTGGGTACTAGAAGATAGAGTTTGATACGACACTATCAGTATATTTCATAGACGCTGTTGCAGCATTAAAGATTCAAATTATAATATCATTTCTCTTTAGGTGCTGATACTGCTGAAGAAGGTCGACTTCTTGACCATCAACAAAATAACGGAACAAATAGAAACTATGCTGAAGCGAAGGGTCATCTACATAATAATTTACGGAACGCCAATTTAGAAAACGACTGCATTCATAGACTTGTTAAAAAAGAACATGATGCTCCTGTAAAGAATTCTAACGAAATCGATAAATATTTAATCTCCGAGGACAGATGCCCAAACAAATTGAAAAGCATTGAAATTGATAATGCAGATGCTTTACCAAAGATCATCACGAAGATTGTTAATAATGGAAAAGTGATTCCAACTTCTGACGACGAATCTTGTGTTAATACATCGACGGATAAAATTAATTCCGTACAAGAAAGCCCAAATAACAATAACATAAGTACATTGGAATTACCTCAAGTAGAATTTCAAGAAGACCACCAAAGAAAACATAGAACTAACTTTGTACTGGGTCTTAACATGAGTCCAGATTTAGCACAAATTTGTGAAATAAATGAAGACAGATTACTTGAATGCCAACACCCTCCTCGACCTACACAGCTTTCCGAACAGAAATCAACTCCCGTTACACAAGTTTCTGATGATGGAATTGGTAATTATATAAGTAAGTTTTATGTGAAAATAATCTAATTGATTTTAACAATATTACAGATACTTATTAGTAGTGATTTCTTCAAAGATAAATGAGGAAAACTAAATCATTGAGCGTTAGTATGACTTATAAGACTGATGTTGTAACGTATAAACGTAGAGCAGACGATTACTTCTGAAGCACGTGTAGAACAGACGATCACTTCTGAAACACGTGTAGAGTAGACGATCACATCTGAAACACGTATAGAGCAGACGATCACATCTGAAACACGTGTAGAGCAGACGATCAGTTCTGTAACACGTGTAGAGCAGTCAATCTCTTCTGAAACACGTGTAGAGCAGACGATCACTTCTGAAACACGTGTAAAGCAGACGATCACTTCTGAAGCACGCATAGAGTAGACGATAACGTTTGAAACACGTGTAGAGTAGACGATCACTTTTGAAACACGTGTACAGCAGACGATCACTTATGAAACACGATTTATACCGATTGGCTGTTACTTTAACGTTTTTGTGTCATGGTCGATTGTTTGTCTACCTAGCTTATTGCTCGCGATGTTGTCTGTTCTGTGATTGGTTGTTCTAATTATCCGTTTGATGTTGAAAACGTTTCAATGTAAAATCGTTAATGTTTATGTTGACCTATAGTTGCTTACATCTACGTCATTTGGTGTATGGTGATTAGTTGTGTCATTGATAATGATACCACATCTTCTTATTTTCATAATAGTAACGAGTGAAAAATTAAAAAAAAATCAAATCAGCAATTTTGAGTTGAATCAAATGTATAATGGTAACGAATTTGTAGTTTCAGATGAACAGTCGAGCGGATACGAATCTGCAGGTATGTTTACCTTTGCTGCTCATTTTGTGCATTTTATGCAACCAATCAATTATAGATGTCCGGACATAGATATTTTTATTACCTGAATACAAATGGATAATACCAATATTGGGTGGCATATATCTGTATTAATGTTCCTCACATTTTTTATATTAAAATCCAGATACATAAAATATATGGGAGCTTAGAATTAAAGTAGAATTAAATATTACAGCTTAACGTCAGTTCTATCTATTAGAATTATACATGGAGAATACACAGTTTTCCTATTTCTGCTTCTGGGGAAAACATATGCATGTTAAAACTAGAATAAGTAGATTTTGTAAAACAAGCTAACAAAAAATTGAATCGTTCGCTTGTTCAATACACAAAACGACGAACTTGATAAGATTGATTGCTTGTTTGTTTGTCTGTTTGATTGATGGTGGGTCTAGTCAGTATATATTGATTGAGCGTAGGAGCTTGTATCGTTTAAATAAGATAATGAGAGAAAAAAAAATACTATATGCAGTATTTGCTTTGAATTGTCTTTAAACATATATATCTAAAGGACGTAACTTTAAAAAAAATAATTTAATAAAGTTTTCTTTTTATCGTTCAATATTATTTGTTCTTTCAGGTCGAAATACAGAGAGTACAGAAAGTCTGACGAGCGATCTAGAAAACCATGAATTTGGACTGGTTGGAAAGTCAATTACTTCTTTATGTAATGGAAGTTTAATACCTGAAAAAAATATAAGTGGGAAAATTGGTGTTGGAAACAACACCGACTGCAAGCAGACAATTTGAATGAATAAGATATTCCCTACGATTTAGGAAAAGTTTCCTCGAATAAAAACGCGAAGGATAAGTGAAAATACCTTGGATAGGTTTATTTTCTAAACTCCCGGTCCTTATAAATAATGAATTGCAATTCAGATTGATTAATTAGAATTGTCAGGGCATATATACAACCGAACTATAGGAATCGCATTTATTGCCAAATATGTGTTCAATGATGTAAATCGAATTAATGTTATTTTTATGTTAGTTTATTATGCACTAAGTCACAATTAGAAGTGCTATCTGTTATAGAATTAGATATTATAATTATGAATAAAGGAGATGTATGTTTGTTACTTGTTCTGTGTGTTTTTATTTGGAATTCGTAACAAATCATACTTTTGTAAGAACTTCATGGACAACCATCGAACAGAGATTATGACCTCGTCAAGGACACATGTGTTGATGTCTAGGAATGATTTTTTTTAAAGTAAATTCATCTTTACTTGACACATGCTGCACTTCATTTGGATTTTAAAAACAGGAGAGCGTTCTTAAACGCCTTATTATTTTTTTTTATTATTATTTTGTATTTTTATTATCTATCGTACCGTTATTCTAGAGTTGATTTTCCTGTATTGGTTTTTAATTTTACAATGAATGTTATTTTTGTTCCTTTTTAGCTCACCTGGCCCGAAGGGCCAAGTGAGCTTTTCTCATCACTTGGCGTCCGTCGTCCTGCGTCATGCGTCCAAAATCTTCTCCTCTGAAACTACTGGGCCAAATTTGACCGAACTTGGCCACAATCATCATTAGGGTATCTAGTTTAAAAAATGTGTCCGATGACCCCGCCAACCAACCAAGATGGCCGCCATGGCTAAAAATAGAACATGGAGGTAAAATGTAGATTTTGGCATATATCTCTGAAACCAAACCATTTAGAGTAAATCTGACATAGGGTAAAACTGATTATCAGGTCAAGATCTATCTGCCCTGAAATTTCAGACAAATTTGACAACCTGTTGTTGGGTTGCTGCCCCTGAATTGGTAATTTTTAGCAAATTTTGCAGTTTTTGGTTATTATCTTGAATATTATTATAGATAGAGATAAACTGTAAACAGCAATAATGTTCAGCAAAGTAAGATCTACGAATAAGTCGTGTGACCAAAATTGTCAGTCGACCCCTTTAGGAGTTATTGCCCTTTATAGTCAATTTTTAACAATTTTTCGTAAATTTTTGTAATCTTTTAAAAAAATCTTCTTCTCTGAAACTACTGAGACAAACTTAACAATACTTGGCCATAATCTTTATTAGGCTATTTAGTTTTAAAAATGTGTCCGATGACCCCGCCAACCAACCAAGATGGCCGCCATGGCTAAAAATAGAACATAGGGGTAACATGTAGATTTTGGCTTATATCTATGAAACCAAAGCATTTAGAGTAAATCTGACATACATAAAACTGATCATCAGTTCAAGATCTATCTGCCCTGAAAATTTTCAGACAAATCTGACAACCTGTTGTTGGGTTGCTGCCCCTGAATTGGTAATTTTAAGCAAATTTTGCAGTTTTTGGTTATTATCTTGAATATTATTATAGATAGAGATAAACTGTAAACAGCAATAATGTTCAGCAAAATAAGATCTACTAATAAGTTGTATGACCAAAATTGTCAGTCGACCCCTTCAGGAGTTATTGCCCTTTATAGTCAATTTTTAACAATTTTTCGTAAATTTTTGTAATCTTTTACAAAAATCTTCTTCTCTGAAACTACTGAGACAAACTTAACAATACTTGGCCATAATCTTTATTAGGCTATTTAGTTTAAAAAATGTGTCCGATGACCCCGCCAACCAACCAAGATGGCCGCCATGGCTAAAAATAGAACATAGGGGTAAAATGTAGATTTTGGCTTATATCTATGAAACCAAAGCATTTAGAGTAAATCTGACATACATAAAACTGATCATCAGTTCAAGATCTATCTGCCCTGAAATTTTCAGACAAATCTGACAACCTGTTGTTGGGTTGCTGCCCCTGAATTGGTAATTTTAAGCAAATTTTGCAGTTTTTGGTTATTATCTTGAATATTGTTATAGATAGAGATAAACTGTAAACAGCAATAATGTTCAGCAAAATAAGATCTACTAATAAGTTGTATGACCAAAATTGTCAGTCGACCCCTTTAGGAGTTATTGCCCTTTATAGTCAATTTTTAACAATTTTTCGTAAATTTTTGTAATCTTTTACAAAAATCTTCTTCTCTGAAACTACTGAGACAAACTTAACAATACTTAGCCATAATCAATATTAGGCTATCTAGTTTGAAAAATGTGTCCGATGACCCCGCCAACCAACCAAGATGGCCGCCATGGCTAAAAATAGAACATAGGGGTAAAATGTAGATTTTGGCTTATATCTCTGAAACCAAAGCATTTAGAGTAAATCTGACATACATAAAACTGATTATCAGGTCAAGATCTATCTGCCCTGAAATTTTCAGACAAATTTGACAACCTGTTGTTGGGTTGCTGCCCCTGAATTGGTAATTTTAAGCAAATTTTGCAGTTTTTGGTTATTATCTTGAATATTATTACAGATAGAGATAAACTGTAAACAGCAATAATGTTCAGCAAAGTAAGATCTACGAATTAGTCGTATGACCAAAATTGTCAGTCGACCCCTTTAGGAGTTATTGCCCTTTATAGTCAATTTTTAACAATTTTTCGTAAATTTTTGTAATCTTTTACAAAAATCTTCTTCTCTGAAACTACTGAGACAAACTTAACAATACTTAGCCATAATCAATATTAGGCTATCTAGTTTTAAAAATGTGTCCGATGACCCCGCCAACCAACCAAGATGGCCGCCATGGCTAAAAATAGAACATAGGGGTAACATGTAGATTTTGGCTTATATCTATGAAACCAAAGCATTTAGAGTAAATCTGACATACATAAAACTGATCATCAGTTCAAGATCTATCTGCCCTGAAAATTTTCAGACAAATCTGACAACCTGTTGTTGGGTTGCTGCCCCTGAATTGGTAATTTTAAGCAAATTTTGCAGTTTTTGGTTATTATCTTGAATATTATTATAGATAGAGATAAACTGTAAACAGCAATAATGTTCAGCAAAATAAGATCTACTAATAAGTTGTATGACCAAAATTGTCAGTCGACCCCTTCAGGAGTTATTGCCCTTTATAGTCAATTTTTAACAATTTTTCGTAAATTTTTGTAATCTTTTACAAAAATCTTCTTCTCTGAAACTACTGAGACAAACTTAACAATACTTGGCCATAATCTTTATTAGGCTATTTAGTTTAAAAAATGTGTCCGATGACCCCGCCAACCAACCAAGATGGCCGCCATGGCTAAAAATAGAACATAGGGGTAAAATGTAGATTTTGGCTTATATCTATGAAACCAAAGCATTTAGAGTAAATCTGACATACATAAAACTGATCATCAGTTCAAGATCTATCTGCCCTGAAATTTTCAGACAAATCTGACAACCTGTTGTTGGGTTGCTGCCCCTGAATTGGTAATTTTAAGCAAATTTTGCAGTTTTTGGTTATTATCTTGAATATTGTTATAGATAGAGATAAACTGTAAACAGCAATAATGTTCAGCAAAATAAGATCTACTAATAAGTTGTATGACCAAAATTGTCAGTCGACCCCTTTAGGAGTTATTGCCCTTTATAGTCAATTTTTAACAATTTTTCGTAAATTTTTGTAATCTTTTACAAAAATCTTCTTCTCTGAAACTACTGAGACAAACTTAACAATACTTAGCCATAATCAATATTAGGCTATCTAGTTTGAAAAATGTGTCCGATGACCCCGCCAACCAACCAAGATGGCCGCCATGGCTAAAAATAGAACATAGGGGTAAAATGTAGATTTTGGCTTATATCTATGAAACCAAAGCATTTAGAGTAAATCTGACACGAATAAAACTGATTATCAGGTCACGATCTATCTGCCCTTAAATTTTCAGACAAATTTGACAACCTGTTGTTGGGTTGCTGCCCCTGAATTGGTAATTTTAAGCAAATTTTGCAGTTTTTGGTTATTATCTTGAATATTATTACAGATAGAGATAAACTGTAAACAACAATAATGTTCAGCAAAGTAAGATCTACGAATTAGTCGTATGACCAAAATTGTCAGTCGACCCCTTTAGGAGTTATTGCCCTTTATAGTCAATTTTTAACAATTTTTCGTAAATTTTTGTAATCTTTTACAAAAATCTTCTCCTCTGAAACTACTGAGACAAACTTAACAATACTTAGCCATAATCAATATTAGGCTATCTAGTTTTAAAAATGTGTCCGATGACCCCGCCAACCAACCAAGATGGCCGCCATGGCTAAAAATAGAACATAGGGGTAACATGTAGATTTTGGCTTATATCTATGAAACCAAAGCATTTAGAGTAAATCTGACATACATAAAACTGATCATCAGTTCAAGATCTATCTGCCCTGAAAATTTTCAGACAAATCTGACAACCTGTTGTTGGGTTGCTGCCCCTGAATTGGTAATTTTAAGCAAATTTTGCAGTTTTTGGTTATTATCTTGAATATTATTATAGATAGAGATAAACTGTAAACAGCAATAATGTTCAGCAAAATAAGATCTACTAATAAGTTGTATGACCAAAATTGTCAGTCGACCCCTTCAGGAGTTATTGCCCTTTATAGTCAATTTTTAACAATTTTTCGTAAATTTTTGTAATCTTTTACAAAAATCTTCTTCTCTGAAACTACTGAGACAAACTTAACAATACTTGGCCATAATCTTTATTAGGCTATTTAGTTTAAAAAATGTGTCCGATGACCCCGCCAACCAACCAAGATGGCCGCCATGGCTAAAAATAGAACATAGGGGTAAAATGTAGATTTTGGCTTATATCTATGAAACCAAAGCATTTAGAGTAAATCTGACATACATAAAACTGATCATCAGTTCAAGATCTATCTGCCCTGAAATTTTCAGACAAATCTGACAACCTGTTGTTGGGTTGCTGCCCCTGAATTGGTAATTTTAAGCAAATTTTGCAGTTTTTGGTTATTATCTTGAATATTGTTATAGATAGAGATAAACTGTAAACAGCAATAATGTTCAGCAAAATAAGATCTACTAATAAGTTGTATGACCAAAATTGTCAGTCGACCCCTTTAGGAGTTATTGCCCTTTATAGTCAATTTTTAACAATTTTTCGTAAATTTTTGTAATCTTTTACAAAAATCTTCTTCTCTGAAACTACTGAGACAAACTTAACAATACTTAGCCATAATCAATATTAGGCTATCTAGTTTGAAAAATGTGTCCGATGACCCCGCC